TTGGTATCCATCATGCAGATGGGTGTGAAAATTGATGGAGCTTTTCATACACAGGGTGTAGGGAGAATGCATCAAGAGTTAGGGTTGGAAGACATAGCTTTAAACTTTAGTTCTTTGAAAGCCTCAATTTCTTCAACTAGAAAATGGGGATATTAACATTTGCCTGGCTGCCTTGGAGTGTTGTCATGAAAGTGAAGCGAGTTTCTGTGAAGCATAGAGCAGGATACAATAGCCAAGGATTTTTGTTTAAAGAGGTATTCATATGACATGTTAATGCTTCATAGATTGCCACAGCACTAGCGTCTGCTTTAATCATTTGGTCTTAAAACAGAAAAAAAAAATCCCAACAAACATCACAATTCAGGTTATGTATAAACTGTAATCCCATCGATGCTTCCTAATGCAGCTTTTAAAGATTAGGTTAAAATAAAACTTTTAAAGAACCAGCCCGCGCTTTTAGGGATTTGTCTTCTTTCCAACAAAGAACCTGTTGAACTGAAGCTCAGATTTGCAGATATGGTGAGGGCTTTGGTCTTCGAACAAAATCACTGATGGGCTTTGATATTGAGTGGGAATTTAGGGAAGTCTTTCAGATTCCAGAAATTAATATGTTTTGATGAATGCTAATTTTTAAGAGCTCCTTGGTTAATATTCTTTTACCTAAAATGTGATGAAAAGGGCTTGCTACTCAAACCACTGAAATCCTGAGCTGGGAGAAAAATCCAGTGATCTCAATATCTCCAGTTTCAAAACTTAACTCTTTGCTTTCTTTGGACAACAGAAAACCCAGATTAGACAAACTTGTCTCAAAGAAAACAGCCCTGGACTGTGTTCTCCCGCTATGGGCAGGCTTCCTGAATTATCCTAACGTTTTGAGCAGAGAGTAGGGCTGGCGAGAAATCGTGCTCTGCTTCCTATACAATGCGGCATTTTAGGACTCTTGCTGATCACAACCTAGGATGTGGCAGGATTTTTTTTTTAAAAAAAAGCAAAACAAAATTGAAGTCTCAAACCCTTTACATTGCTGCCCAGCCTAACAGTTAGCCAGCTCGTCATTTTTAATATTATCAAGAAACTCTCCTGTGGGGAATAAACATCTATCAATTTTAGTTGCAGAGAAAGATGATTTAGGACTAGGTTTACAGATCCTTCAACTTGGAGGAAATGAACTTGATGGATTCTGCCTCTTTATTCTTATGGTGATATTTTCCCCATTTCTTTTCAAAATACATCCCCTGGAATTGTTGGGTAATGTGGGAAAATATTGTGACAAATATTCCTGTTCACGTGTGTCGTGGGGGGGGTGACTGTTTTGTTTGTGTCGTTTGAGCCTCTGCCCCTCCTTTTCATGGTCCATGGTTCCCTGACAGCTCAGATTCCTCTGCTGACATCTGTTATAATGAGACCTCTGACGGGAATAGATTTGCAAGATGATGGGCTCACAATGGGACAGGAGCTGTTCCCCAAACTTCCCTTGAGATAAGCAGATGGGGTCTGAAAATAGGGCATTTGAACCGATTAGGTCTAGGTGAATGCATTTATTCAGCACACACTGCACCCAACTTCTCTCCCTACCTCCTTCACCCCTCACCGCCCCCACTTTAGCAATGGGAGGGTTTCCGATGGGCTTGGTTTTCTGCCCCCTGAACACTTGCCTGGAGACAGGCTCTTCCAGTTCCTAAAGCAGAAGCATGCTGGGTATTTACACTATGCCAACCGTCTAAACAACAGAGAAAACCCACCCCTCAAGCCTCACATTGAGAAGCCGGAGTAACACATGGGGTTTTCCCACTCGTCACAAATGATGGCTGTTTGTGCTAGTTAACCTTTTCTAAGCCTGGGGCAGCCCCTGCTGGGAGGCAGGGGGTGATCTGGAGAAAGTGAAAGCCTGGCAGACCCCAAAGTCTCCAGCACGCCTTGGCCCCCAACACACGCCACCGCCTTTGCAGAATGCCAAACAATCCCACATCACACTCTTCATAAGTCAGCCAGGCTCCATGTGCTGGTGACAGTTTGGATTCCAGAGGAGAACTGCCTCCGGGAACACTCTGCAAATACTTCCTGGTAACTTTTATTTTCTGGCATCACTTACTTTCTCTTTTCAGAGGAATCTCTGAAAAAGGCTGAAATTGAAATATTCCCATCCCAGGCTTGATCATTTTTGGCATCTTCACTAGCTGGGTAAAAAGAAGATTTCCTTGTACTTTCGAAGCCTAAAGTCAAGTCAGTAACATGCATTTTAATAACTTGTGCCTTAAGCATATTGATTGAAGCATAATGAAGTCAGGGCGATTGTAAGAAATACATTGTGAAGTCCCATTCTGTGGGTGTCTGGGGAGAATTTTGTCAGAAGGGGAATGGTGTATATAAGGAAGTTTAAGGAAGAAAGGCAACTAAGAGGGAAATTTAGGGAATATCTTTTTGGGGTTGGGGGGAGCTTAAAGTTTAAAGTTTAAAATTTAAAAATGATGAGAATTCAATTCCCAAGTGAGGAGCTGATTGTTTCACTATTGAAATAGCCAAACATGATAAAAAAGGATTCAGATTTCTGCAAATTTCAGGTTGAGATGATCATGGAAATGCTCTTAGTACAGCTGCCAGGGTTCCGAACAGCAGAACTCATACCCTCTACCACACTCCAGAGCAACCTGAACAGTCTGTAGAGCTCAAACTCTCAAATTCCCCATCCCTGACTATCTCCTGCCACCAGACCAGACCTGTAGATTGTTGTGCTAATTTGGCACCAGCTGTTTATAAGGTGATATTGTTCCACATGGCATGTTTATGTGGCAAAGAGTATCCTGAGAACGAGGGATGAACTGAGGCACAGTTGACATAGTTCATTAACTGCAAAAGCAGTTAGCTTTGGGAGGCTACAACACTGAACCACTACAGCATTTATAGGAACAGATAAACAAAATCTGACATTTCAGGCATTACATTCTGGGGAAATCCACCTTTGAGTTTTATCCTTGTTTGTTAAAAATAAATCATAGGAGCTCCACTAGAACTTCGTATTTGTGGCTGTTAACAGTGGTAAAGAGACAAGTGAAATAAATGCACACAAAAGTTGAGATCTTGTGCTACTTTTCATTGGGATAATTTGAGACCAGATGCATGTAAGTGGAAAAGACTCATCTCGATTTTTAGGCTGTGCTCAGGTACATGGAGGATAGGCATTTATTGGTTTTCATAAGACCATGGAATAAAATATTAAATTTGATTTGCATTTTTTAAAAAGATACAAACTCATGCTCTTTTGGAAACACTCAATGGTAGAAAGGATATGGCTTTGGGGACCAGGAAGTTTGAATCTCTGCTCTACCACTTAGTGACTGTGTGTCTCTGAACATGTTTCTGAACTTCTATGAGCCTTGGTTTCCTCATGTCTAAGAAATGGGCTTATCCCAATACTTATCCCAAACAGTTATTAGAGGATTAAATATAAGAATGTCTGTAAAACAGTGTAGTATTCGGGACAAAGTAGATGTCTTAGTCTGTTTTGAGCTGCTATGAAGGAATACCCGAGACTGGGTAATTTATAAAGATAAAAAGGTTTATTTGACTTATAATTCTGATGTCTGGAAAACTTCAAGACTGGGATCATGGTGGAAAGCAAAGGGGATCTGGGCATTTAGCAAGATCATATGGTGAGAGAGGAAGCAAGAGAGAGGAGGGAGAAGTACTAGGCTCTTTTTATCAGCCAGCTCCCATGAGAACTAATAGAATGAGAACTCGTTCACCACCCCCCCCAGTGGGTATTAACCTCTGTATGAGGGGCCCACCTCCATGATCCAAACCCCTCCAATTAGCTCCGACCTCCAACACTGGGGATAGAATTTCAGTATGAGATTTGAAGAGGCCATACATCCAAGCTATAACATTAGGCAAATGAATTCAGTTTCCCCTTGACTGAAGATAGTCTCTTTAATGCCAATTCATAGCTCAAGTAACACTTATACACAATATACACTTTTTGGCACTAATTTAATTTTGTCTTTTGTTTTCTTCATTTTTTTTTCTTTCTTAAATCTTCTCTTTCTGGCTTTCTGCATGATCAGGATACATACATGGTGCTGTGTTTGGCACTTGTTAAATATTCCATTTCTTCTACCATTCATTCATTGATCCATTAATTCAATGAAATCTGTTATGTGGCTATAAAAAGCCAGTGTTGCAAAAAAAGTATATATAACATCTGTGTTCTTGGGGAGCTGACAATTTGGGGATAGAAAGTAAGAAAGCCATCTTCAAAGTCTGAATGGCTATTGTGAAAATTATGAGTAAATATTGGGGCAAGGATTGCATCTTACTCATCCCATTGTCTAACCCAGATCTCACTCCAGACACACTTTCATTGAATTAATTAAAAAGTTAGAGAACAGAGATGATATTTGCTTAGTGGGTGGAAGTAGGACCAGTTGGTAACAAACACAGGAAACTGGATTTATATCAGCACAAACAAGTTCTAACACTGAGAAGGAACATGGTCTCTTTCGAGAAGGGGTGAAATCGTAGTCATGGGTGGTTTTCAGGTTCTGGTCCCTTGAGAGACATGTGGGAAGCTGCAAGTCTAGCTGGGATAGTCCCTTCTGAGATCTGCATGGGTGTGTGTTTGTGGGCTTGGAATAGTGATTTTATCAGTCAGCAAAGAACAGAAAAGACAGAAAATCCTACTCACAATAGCATGGACAATAAGAAGATTTAATAGCTTATCAGTACGATGTCAGAAAGAGAAATTCTAAATTGGTTTATATAGAAACCCTATGATGTCCACAAGGACCCAGTTCCCTCTATTTTTTCACTCTGTGGTCTTTAGCATTTTCCTTCAGGGTAACCCCCTCATGCTTACAAAAGAGTAGCCACGGTTCCAGCTCTCAAACGCAGACATGCTCACATCCAGTGGCAGAAGAGAGACTATTTCTTCCTGTATGTTTCTTTGTAAGAAATTTTTTCTCAGAAGCCATTTAGTGGACTTACCCTTCCACCTCTTTTCCCAGATTACAACATATACCAAATGTAACCAATCAACTGATAAGATGCACAGGACCAACATGCAGGCTGCTGGAACTCAACTGAGATTCTCTGAGTAAGAAAGAAAGAAAAAGTGGTTAGTATCAAGTGGGAACCAATGATGTCAAATACAGATGGCCTGATGGGGTGAAGAAAGCATGGGTTTGGGTTCTGCCCGACTGTTTGGTAGTTGTGTGACCTTAGGCCACTCTGGCTGCCATAACAAAATACTCTAGACGGGGCTGCTTACACAACAGATTGAGGTGCCAGCTGAGTGGGTTCTTGGTGGGGCTTTTCCTGGCTTGTAAATGGCTGCCTTCTTGCTGTGTCTTCATGTCATCTTTTTTTCTGTGGGAGTGGAAAGAGAGAGAGCACAAAGATTTTGGTTCTTAATGATTTCCTAACTCCAAATATAATCACATCGGGGATTAGAGATTCAACATATAAATTTTGGGGGGGACACAATTCAGTCCCTAGCACTGGGGGAATTACTCACTCTCCTTAAACCTTTCTCTCCTACCTCTGCAGATGGGACTGATCATACACACCTCCAAGCCTTCTCGTGGAGATGCAGTGAAATGACATGTGTGATCAAACTTACTCAAAGCCTTGAGTTACCTTATTTTACATTTTGTTTTTTCTCATTCCATCAACTAAAATCAGAGAACTCATGCAATCAAAGCTAGAAACTTCCAAATATCACAAGGCACTCTATAGTGCATATTGATTTTAAGAATTGGGTTCTGGTTTCTGACAACCAGAGTAGCTTAAATATGCGTAGAAAAAGGAAACCATGCTTTACTCTGCCTGAATATCATATTATTTCTTAAAGGTAGCATGGTAATTTTGTTACAAGAATATTACTATAGATTTTCTATCATTCTTTGTTGAGGGCTAAAGGGTGTAAAATGGAAAGCTCTGTATAGTTGAAAGATAGAACATACCAGGGCGATCAGTTTCTTGCAACTAGCACAGCTGGTTAAGAGAGCTGCGTCTGAAGGCAGGCCACCTATTACTTGCCTGTGTCGTACTGACAAAATTATTGGACTGATGGATTATTTGACTGCTGTTCATTTGTAAAGTGGTAATAATACTTTAATTATGATAATATTGACAAATATATTTTACCCCATGTGGTTGCTACTATTAATGATATTGATAATATTTTACAGAGTTGCTATGAAGACAAACTGAGTTAATATACATAAAGTGCATAGACTAGTGCCAAGTTTGATCTATCATCACCATAATCGTCATCATCATCACATCGTCTATAATGTGTTCCACTATGATGTTCTGCTGTGTGGAACAGCCTGTAGCCAAGTCTTTGCATGCACTAAGATGAATCCTTAAGGAGCTGAATTGCTGGGTCACTAGGCATTAGACACTCTGCTTCTCAAAGACTCAAGAGCTTTATCCAATAAGTGAGTTAATTGGGCTTCTGGGGCAGGTGTATTTTGTCACTTTGCATCCCTTTGAGTCAGGAGAAGGCAAACCTGATCAAAAACAACTGCAGATATTGTGATGCTGAACTTTCCTTGTCACTGTGACATCCTAGGCAAGCCTGAAAATGTTTTCTGGAGATGTCCTGTAATTGTCTTGGCACTTACATTTGGTCCTGTCTGTCGATAGACCTAGAAACATTACCTCTGTTCATTCTGCCACTTAACAGCCATTCATCACGGGGTCCCTGTCAGGATATGGCTCAGGGCATTGTGACAGATAAATGTACTTAAGGAATCATATGTTCCAAATAACTGGAAGTTGATTCGGTTCAGCCTTACTGTCACTGGGCCGACCATCATTCTGATAAATGACAGGGTGGCTGGGGTTTTCCCTGGTGGCATTTTAAAGGGAGGACTTGCCCGGGGTTAGCTGTGCTTGGAGGAAGAGGGTGTGTGGAGGCTTGGGAGGCAGCTCTTCTCAGTTCTGGAACACAAAGGACACACTCAGAAACCATGACCAGGCATTTCTTTCTGTGCCTCTCTGTGCCTCAAGGCAGTGTGGCTGGAAACCATGGGCCTCTGTTCTTGCCGACTTTGTGATTCCTTTCAGTAGGCCCAAGACCTCTTCCCTGGCAGAAGGAAGAAATGGGAGCATCTGGAGAGACTCAAATAACTGAGCCTGTCTCCCCTTTCATCTTTCTTTGTAGGTGAGCTGGAGGCCAGAGAACAAACAGATAATAAAAGAGCAAGAAATCCTTGAAAAAGGATAGGCAGAATGCATCTTAGGGGCTGCAAAAAGAAGCTAAAGGAGAAGGTCAGATTCTGTTACACTTTAAACCCGCTTAAGCTGAGCAGAAAAACAAAATAATTGAATTAAATTGACCAAAGGAAAATTTTTCAAGAAGCAAGGGTTGGATAATGACTGTACTTTACCCAAAGTATACATGGCACGTCCCCAAACATGCCTGTTCAATGACAGTGACAGGAAGGGCTCACAGGCCTCTACTCTATCCTGATTTTAGCTTCAGCATTTACAATCTCTGTGTTCTTGGGCAAGTCTCCTACACATTCTGAATTGGTTTTCTTATCTTCAAAATAGGACTAATAATACCTTCTTTTACAGGGTTGTTGAGAGGTTTAAGAGAATATATGTAGGCACTGGATGTTTAGATTACAATATTGTTTTAGTTTAATATCACCTAAAACAGTTGTTGTCAAGCTTTTAGAATATGAGCATCCCTTTATAATGTTAACATAATTTGCAGATATCCCTCAAGCTAGGATGTATACTATTGCTAGATAAGATACATAATGGCTAAAAGCTAAAAAAAAATCAGTAACATTTCAGAATGAATTTCTATTTGATTGACTACAGCAGCATCTATACACATAGGCAATCCGATAAAAATGATGAGACATTTATACCCTTTGCAGACAAAGCACAGGGTTCGTCTAAATTATTACTGGCTCCTGCAGTAGCCCCATAGATCACCAGGTGACTACAAGCCTCCAGCCTGAAAGGACTGAGCTCTAACTATAGGTGTGCATCTTTAAAAGAGAGGACTCAATTATCTTAGCTACTGATACTAAACTAAGTTAGATGTAGGATACGGCCTCACTACACAAAGATGGCCCTTCAGACTAACATCTTACAATCTTGGGCATTTTTTCTTCTCTGGGACTAATAAGTTGGTACTTACCTGGCCATAAAAGCATGCTAAATACTGTCTCCTTCCATAATCCTGTGACAGTGGAACTTGTTCCCAGGCTGACCTGCTGAGTCTAGAAGAGCTGCCTTTGACTGTGGGAGTTGGTCTTCCATGCACTTTCCTCTACCACCAAGACTGTTGTAATATTATGTCTTGGTAAAGCTGGAGATGAGGACTTGCTTGTAGGTAGTGTATTTTACAGGGGCTGGGTCAAAAGGAGAGTCGAGCAGATGCGAGGTAGAATGAAAGAGGTGCCCAGCCAGAGGGACAACGCACAACCAAGGGAATATACAACCAAGGATCAGGGCTGGTCATTTCATTAATGTCTATGAGGACAACTCTGTGCTGTTAAAAAATAAACTTAGGCACATTAAAATTGTAGAGTTTATTTAAGCAGACAGAAATTTGTAAATCAGGCAGTGCCAAGCTGCAATCACTCTGGGCTTCACCAAAGGAGTGAAACTTTTTTTTTTTTTTTTTTTTTTTTTTTTTTTTTTGAGACAGAGTCTCGCTTTGTTGCCCAGGCTAGAGTGAGTGCCGTGGCGTCAGCCTAGCTCACAGCAACCTCAAACTCCTGGGCTCGAGTGATCCTTCTGCCTCAGCCTCCCGGGTAGCTGGGACTACAGGCATGTGCCACCATGCCCGGCTAATTTTTTATATATATATCAGTTGGCCAATTAATTTCTTTCTATTTATAGTAGAGACGGGGTCTCGCTCTTGCTCAGGCTGGTTTCGAACTCCTGACCTTGAGCAATCCGCCCGCCTCGGCCTCCCAAGAGCTAGGATTACAGGCGTGAGCCACAGCGCCCGGCCGAGGAGTGAAACTTTTATAAGGTGTTAGCAGAAGCAAGACAAAGAAAACATTGATTGATTAACCTGGGAAGTCCCTAGTTAGTAGTTAGCAGGTGGTTTCTGGTTGGTTAAGCTTAAGTTTCATTTTCCTAAGCTATGACTATTTCACTTTGAATATGGCTTAGTTTGCTTATGTAGGAACCCAACATGCTGGAGCCATATCAGCCTGATTAATTATTTTAACAGTCCCATACATTGTGTTAGCTGCTGGAGCATAGTGCATACTGTAGCCTACGACCTATGGTACACAGAGAACTATGATATGGTGAAACAAAGAAGGAGTTTTCTGTCTAGTGGGGAGCCAGGCAAGCATTGTAATAGATGTCAGCATAAGGGGCCCCCACAACTTGGAAGAGAGTGTGTAATTCCTTCTGGAGCTTTGGGGGAAGGCTTCACAATAAATAATAATAATAATAAATAATTAAGCTGGGTCTTAAAGCATGAATAGGAGTGCATCAGATAGTGACAGGGAGGAAAGACATTCACATGAGAGAGAGAGAAACGAAAGAGCAAGTCTGTTCTAAGCATACCCATGAAGTCTCCACTATTCCATTCTTTCCCTTAATAGTTTTTGGCTCAAGTCACTATTTCAGTTATATGTTTTTGTTAATTTTATTTTTAATCATAAGTAATAGAGATGCTGGGAGGTGTATATAAATTTTCATTTAAGAAAACGGGGCACACACAGGATGTCTTTCATAGGCCAGTGATGATGAATTCAACACTGTGCCCCTGGGGTCCCCATAGAGTAAAATCTCCTCTGTTGCCTCCCCCAATAATCCTCACTCCCGGGACTACCTGTGGCTGGGAGTTGTAGGTAGTTGTTTCCCTTATAAGGGGATATAGGCACACCAGACATCATGGCTTTCCATCTTCTGTGACCCACTGTCCTGAGTCTTGTATATATTCATATATATTCGCTGCTCGCCTTCCACATTGGTCAAGCAGAACTTGTTTGTAGCTTTAAGGAATGCCTGGGCCACTCCAGCAGCTGCCTCATCCCTTTTTGCCTCCATTCAGCCTTCTGTAGTGCTCATCTCCTGCCACCATGACGGTCAAATGTCCTCTGACTTCTTCCCTCCTCTTTCTGTAAAACTGCTCTTGGAACTGGACCTTACAGCCCATCACTTCCATCTGAATATGGGTCATTCAATTCCATGATCTCTTCAGCTTCATTCCTTATGGCTGGATTTTGGAATTTCCCAACTCCAGTCATCAGTGGGCAAATGTGTATGTGGGAAGCATGTGTGTGTGTGTGTGTGTGTGTGTGTGTGTGTGTGTGTGTGTTGCAGGGTTGGTGGAGGGGTGGGGTGGCTTCCTAAGACCATGGAAATCACACAGACAGGCTGCCCTGTTCTTGTGTCTCTGTATCTGTGGACCTGGGATTTATTGTGTGCCTACTGTAATCCTGACTTGTGCTCCCATTTCCAAAAATGTCATCAACCCCGAGAAACATGTCATTCCTACTCTGCGAATGAGGAAACAGACTTTGAGGGTTAAGTAATTTGCCCAACATTACATAATTTCTAAGTGGCTGAACTAAGACTCCATTCCAGGCATTAAAAACACATATCTTTTGAAATGAATTAAATTACTATCTGCTTAGTACATGGTACTAAGTATCTAGTACAATGACCTTGGCACTTTGGGACACAATAAAAGGTATAGACTTTAAAACCATTCTCAACATGTGATTAAGATGCAGAGTCTAGATAGATCTCAGGAAGAACTTGGGTTCAAATCTAGATTTTTATTTCTTGGTAGCTGTGTGATCTTGAGTAAATTATTTAAATAAGCCTCCTATTGTAAAGGTGGGAAATGGAATGTAAAGGGAATAATAAAGACATTAGGCTGCCTGGAATGGAGAGTTTGGGTAAAAGAAATATAGATGAAAAAAGGTAGATTGGAATTCATAGTGGATTTTTGTCATTTGTGGCTGCCTGCTATCTTTGAACATCATGCCACTTTTTGAACTCCAAGTGGACTGACTACATTCCATGTTTGGCATCACCAAATGCATCCCAAAGGCCTCCCTACCACCCTGCTATCGGTTCTATAGTCTTGACTACTTCTCCTGCCAAAATCTCTTGGGTGAGCCATCCAAGTTGAAGCTGCAAACTTCCCAATCCATGTTCTGGTCTGTGCAGAAATGTTGACTTGCAGACAGGGTGGGACAATGTGGATCTGTAAATCCCTGATTAATTCCTATGCTGGTCTGGCCAGAGTCAGGAGAAGAAGCTACTTGCCTGCTTCACCCAGTAAGTTCTCAAGTAAACACGCTTAGATGCCTATGTATTTACAAAAGGAAAAAAAAAACCCATGTCCCTGTGTTTTATCCTATCCAGCTGCTCCCTTGGGTCTGTCTAAACGTGTCCCCAACTCGGTTTCCTCAAAGTTATTCTTCCTTCTGTTAACACATCATCACAGTGCAGGGCATAGTTTAATTGTACATATTATGGTTTAACTGGTTTAACTCAGGTCCTGGTCTTCCTTGATGACCCCTTGGTACCCCTGAGCCAGGTAGTTTTCTTCTAAGATTTTGCTGTATCATGGCATGTACCTATGGTTAAAGCTAAGCAAGAGCTTGTGCCCTCTATTCTACCTGGTAGATACCAGTTGGTGGGAAACAGATAAGTATGTTTTCTTATTGCTTTTGTCATTTGTTTACCTTCCTATTGTAAAGCACTGTTTTTTTTCCAGACATTTAAGCATTTTTATAAAATGCTATTAATATTTGAATTTGAGCATGTATCATATTGCCTATTTTGCTTCCCATCAGGTTTTCTTCCTAAGTTCTTTGTATATGGAATTTTTGTTTTAGTATCTTTTTGAGAAAATAATAATTTGTATAGAAACAAAAGCAAATTTCTGTCTCCTCTAACTTTCTGTTGGTTTGTTTTTAAACATTGAGATAAAAACATTAAATGATAGTGTCTTCTTTGAATGACTGGCTATCCATAGGTTGATTATATTATGTCTTTTAATTATGTTGATAAAATATAAAATTTCACATCATGTTATTAATGTCTCATGTTTGCAGGTCCCTATTACTGTTTTGTTGCAGTAATTTTTAAAAAGTTTTGCCAACTTTTGTTAAACCAAGCTTCTAAGTGCTATCTGTACTACATTGTATCTCTAAAACCAAGCAAAACATTCAATGTAGCACATACATATACTCTCACACATTTTTCTTATACATGACCTTAGTTGGAGTACAAATATAAAATATTATTTAGTCTTTTTCTAAGTGAAATCATCACTGATTAAAAATGTAGAAAGCATTCCTATTTTCCATATAAGATGGGGATTAATAGCACTTTTGTCTTTTAACAAATAATTATTCTATAAAACATGTGATAGTTTATGCACAATGATATGATAGTTTGCTTTCTTGTTGCAATGAAACATTTCTTTTTGTAAAATGCAGTTTGCATATATAACTCAGCATACCATTAGAAAGTAGGCAGTTTGAAAACATAGTATTTGTAGTTCACTTTTTTTTTAGAGCCACCCCTTCTATCGCAGTTAAACGCCTTGATTTGCACTTCACTGGTGAGAGGCCAGAGCACTGAGGGATTTAGCTTTTCAAGCTCAGATTCAACTCCAATGTGCTGGAATGGAATACAAAGTACAGCTCTGCATTCATTATCACTTAATTATACAACTAGTTGGGTTTTCAAAGGAATTTTCCTCCCCAAAGCAAAATCTGTGCCAGGTACTTTTGTTTCCCTGAAATGACATTTTTATATTAAAAAAAAAACCCAAAACTTTTCTTGAAATATTCCTGTTTCAAACTTAGGAACACTCTTATCACACCTTTTTTCCTAATGATTGTCTGCTTTTATTTGAGAGCATTGGCCACAATTCATTTTTTCCCCAATAAGTTGTTCTTAAATATAAATCAGTAACTATAGTTTTTGCCTTTTAAATGATTAGCCAAAAAGGAAGATAATTAACTCAGTCTATGTTTCTCTGATTTCATATTTATTGCAAGTTCAAGAGTTACTAACACAAAATCTGAGAATAACGAATCTTTGCATTAATAGGGACTAAGATTTTCAACCCCGATACATTGCTATATTGGGCTGGATAATTCTTTGTTGTGGGGGCTGTCTTGTGCATCATAGGATGATTAGCAGCATTAGAGGCTGGTGGAACTCTCCTCCCTTCTCACCTCCCACCAGATGTGACAACCCAAAAGGTCTTCAGACAATGCCAATTATTTCTAGGGAGGCGGGGATTGTGGGGAGAAGTCCCTGATTGAGAACCACTGGTCTAGAACTATGAGGGACTAAAATAATAATTATTTGTGCACTATGGTTGTGAACTTCCCTACAGGTATATCTGGGAATTGTTTTTGAATGTTCAGGCAGGTCTTCATTTTAAAGCATATGGTAGACTTATAATAAACTATTTGGATGTAGAGGTTTTTATACCATTTCCATCAAAAAGCTTACACAGAATTGCCTAGGGATAACATCTCTCAGCTTCTGTCCTTGTTCCTCGCCACACAACATCCAGCAAACTGTTTTCTATGCAACAGCTACAGTGATCTTTCAAATAAAGTCAGATCATGTCTTTCCTCTGTTCAGAATCAAAGTCCTTACTATGCTGACAAGGGCCTGTAGGACTTGGCCTCCCTCCTAACTCTGACTTTGTCTCCTACGATTCCTTCCTCACAGGGCCTCAGTCACACTAGTCTTCTTGCCTCCAAAACACTCATTATCATGTAGTGTAGGACATATTTGTTTATTTTTGTTTTCCTCTGCTAGAATGCAAGCATGATGAGGCAGATGCCATCTGTGTTATTCAAGGCTGTGACCCAGTGCCTGGCACATTGACTTTTCTAGCATGCATGTGTTACTCAATAAATACTTGCTGAAGGATTGAATGCTCTTAATAAATTTAGTTTAAATGGGTTTTGATTCTTACTCTTAAGTTTCTTCCCAAATTAGAGCCCTCCAGGTCTGGTGATGGACTATAATCCATCCTTAGAGAAACATCCCATTTCCTAATCTGAGGGTGAAAACTTTTGTTTTATTCTTCTTTTGGTTGAGATGAAGGCTGAGCATAGAGCCTGGCTTTATTAATCAGGAGCTTTTCAGTGGCAAGGGGCAGAAAACCCAACTCCAATAAGCTCAAGCAAAGAGTGGAGTATTTTTTTTTTATATATATATAACTAAAATCTAGGGACATATCTAGATTTAGACATGGCTGGACCAGCTCTAAAGTCAGGACCTTAGAAATCTTTCTTTTTCTCTTTCTTTCTTAGCTATACTTCTTTTCCTGTGGCTCCATTCTCTTTCAATATAGTGACCAAAAAAGGCCAAATAGAGCTACAGCTTTCCCATCTACCAGCTCAGCAAACCCTCTGGAAAGAGAGTTCCTTTTCCTTAAGGTTCTTGCAAACATCCTGACTGTCCTTGGCCTGACTCAGGTAACTGGTCCATCTCGTCACTGTTCCAGTTCTAGAACACATGCCCCATTGGAGCCACAGGAACTGATATTGGAGGAGAAGGACTCCCCCAAGGGAATATCAGCTAACTTCCACCTGAAAGAGGAGAAACGAATGCCAGGCAGACAGAGGAAGAGGAGTCCACTACCCTTTTAAGCATCAGCCTCCCCTTTAACTCCAACGACAGCAATCCTCACAAATTCCCAAAGTCTCATGGAAGGGCAGGCCACTTGGTCCATTTTCTTTTTCCTTTAAACAATTTTTTTATTGATGCATAATATCTGTACATTTTTATGGATAGATGTGATATTTTGTTACATGTGTGGAATATGTAATGATCAAGTCAGGCTATGTAGGGTATGTATCACCTTGAGTATCATTTCTACATGTTGGGAACATTTTAATCCTCTCTTTTAGGTATTTTGAAATGTACAATACTTCGTTGATAACTATAGTCACCCTGTATTGCTCAGAACTTATTCCTTCTGTCTAATCGTACATTTGTGCCCATTAACAAACCTCTCCTCATCCTTCCCTCCTGCTTCCTTTCCAGCCTCTGGTGTCTATTATTCTCCTCTCTACCTCCATGAGATCTACTTTTGTAAGCTCCCACACATGAGTGAGAACATGTGATAGTTGTCGTTCTGTGCACATGGGCCATTTTCTATAATTCCTTAAAAGGAACCAAAGTATAACCAGAAATGTGATAAGAGGGAGAGAATTGAATTTACCAGAAATTTCAGGAGAGTATGATAGTAACAGGAATGAAAACATGGCTAATCTACTGAGGAAAGGACCAAGATTCCCAAGAAGTAGCCTCAAGTATTAACTTTCTTATTTCCCCAACTGCTATTAAGGAGAGTGGGTCAGGTTACTTTCAGAACTTTTGCTTTTAAGAATCAATCAAAACACATTTGAAGCAAGAGCTTAACTTTCCAATACTTAGGAGTGATGCTCCGGCTGACTTCCTGGGTCCTTTTTATACCATGCATAGCCTCTCCAAAAAAAGTCAGCTTAAAAATTACACTTATATGTTTAAAGATTTCATGTAAATTAGACTGGGAACATTGAAAATATTTAAAGAACAGCAGTTTGAAGAGGCATCAAATCATTACCTGACCCGGGATGTCCTATTATTGGCTAACTCAGAGGCCAAGGAACATGTTTCTACTTGGGGCTGCTCCTACTTGTATTAACTTTTCAAGATGTGCTAACAAGTCAGTGGCTCTTTTGAGTAATTGGATGCATTTATCTATGCTTCTAGAGAGTGTGAGAGTGGAATTAGGAGGAAGAAGGGAAAAGGGGAGTTGAGCAATGGAGCAGGCCGCTTCGTAATAACTTACACCCTCAACTGAAGGTTAAAGAGTGTCTTTATAGTGTGACAACCCTTGTTATACATCAATTTCACATGAATATACACACATACGCTACATATACACATGAATTATTATATATTACATATTTTATGGTATATTTATATTATAAATGATATGAATGTATACTTGGTTATAAGTTACATAAAATGTAAATATAGTTTTATTACATATATAAAATAGATATGAAATTTGTTTTGGTTCTCTTTTACTCAGTAGGGCTTTCCAAATACCACTGGGAACAAATTGACTGTCATGGTGAGACTAGCATTTTCCGAAAATCACTTTATCAAGGTGTAGGTACATACAAAAAGCTGTCTGTATTTGGTGCATATAACTTGGTGAGTTTGGAGAGACTAGCATCTTGGGTGCATAACATTCTCTTCTTTTCTTCAAGGTGTTCCCGTCTTTTCCTTTTCCTCTCTGAAGGTTTTAAAAAGTTGGCGCTTCACCTGCGTGCCTCTTGAGAGTCGGAATGGTTGACCTTGTCCACTGGCCTCGTGGGAAGTGGCTGGAATGGGAGCCTCACACACTTGCCAACGTGGCTGCACACTGTCTTTCACTGACGAGCTTGGGGACCCTGGACCAAGTGCAGTCTCTCATAGATGAGGGGGCTGGACCTGATGTGCATGGTAGGATAGGAGAGAGGATTGCAGTGGGTGCACCTGGGATTAAGGGCGGGTGAAAATCCAAATTGCTGCCATTGGAGAAGGGGAAATCATAAGATCATTGATTTCCTATCACAGTTTCCTCTTCTCAAATGTCTAAGATCTGGCTTCTCTAAAGCTCCCATCACAAAGGAAAAGAGCACAGGGTGACAGTACGATGCTGTAATCTTATCATTGCACCCAAATGAAATGATTGCTTCAGGGGATTTAAAGAAAATTATATCTCCATGGCAGAACTCCCTGGGTTCAGAAAGTCTAGAGGTCCAAGATGAGACAGGATGTGGAAATTTGTTATTAAGTGTACGGGAAGGAAAGAGAGCCCCTCTCTGTTAAGATTTATTATATACCGTATGTGGGAATGACCTCTGAAAGCTAGCTGGGTTGTACTGCTCAAATCAGAATTGGTTTAGGGTCAGTATATCCAGTACCTGCTCTGCTTACAGTTGATGCTAAATTGGTTTAAGCTTGGAAACTTGCTCTGATTTACCATTTTCTTTCTTTCTTTTTTCTTTTTTTTTTTTTTTTGGCAGTACCATCTGTATTTTACATAAGGAGGCTTTTTTGTTTGTTGTTTAAATTGCACTTTCAAGGCTGTCTCTAGGTGCTTAAGTTTGGCTCAGGGGCCTAGATTTATTTTTTTGCTATGAAAACAGCAGATTTGGAGAATTTCCAGGAAATGATTCTTTTTTGAGGCTCTCAACTGGGTGGCGATGAACTTCAAAAGGAGTGAGACACTTGGCATACTTATTCTTGCATTTTCTCCCCTAATTCTTCAGTAATAAATAGTGCATGATTAGAGCATAAGGTAGTTTAGGGTTAATATCTGCCAAATGGCACAGATGGGAGGAGGCATGAGGACCCCCTGGTGTGAAAGGATCACTGTGCACAGAACTGCTGCACTGAGCACTTTACAAATGTTGCCTCATTCTAGCATTGGATGCACTGGGTTTGAATACCACCTCAATCACCTATTAGCTGTGTGACTTTGAGCAAATTACTTCACATCCCTATGCCTGCTTGCCTAATGTGTAAAACAGGGAAAATAATAGTAGCTACTGCAAAGAGTTCTTGTAAGGATTGGCTGAACCATTACATGCAAAACACTTAGAACACTTAGTAACTTGAACTACCTGGCATATAAGCATTTATAAATAATAGCTATTATTATTTCTTAAATGAGTACCACCTTTTTATAGTTGAAGAAACAGACACTTAGAAGGGTCAAATAACTTGCATAAGCTCATGCATCTGGCAAATGGCTGAGCCAGAACCTGAAACCAGGTGTCTCTACTTCTATTGCTTAGGTTATTGGCCATTCTATGTTATGGTGTTCTAGACTGAAAGAACTTGTAGTGTGTAAGGATATACATATTTATAAGTAACTGCAATTTCCAGTGGTAAATAAATAAATAAGTGGTTCTAAGAAAGATTCTATCTAGATGGGGAGGTGGGGACATTGCAGAGAGGGGTGACATTTCTTCTTAGCTGTAGTATGAACAATTGCAATACTGTAAGTCAAATGTTGATTGAATTGCATTTCCAGTTATTGGTTATGGGCCTTCAAATTTGGCTTGGGATATTTTTTTCCTATGTAAATGTTAAATTTGGAAGCATACCATAAAAATGACATCTCCAAAGACTTAGGTTTTGCTACAACAAACTCAAAATCTTGTAAAGTTCCTGGAAATAATTTCTCCATAATTCTCATGTCCGCTCCAGCAGGAAAATAATCCTTCTCCTCACAGAAAGTATGACACTTTTCTGATCTTATGGCCACCTTCCATTCTTTGCCTTTAGGTTTCATCTTTCACAACCATTAAATACTTTTATTTTATAATTCTTGATGACAATAGATATTTTCCCAAAGATTCTTAAGCACTCACAGATTCCCCAGATTTTTTTAAATGTGTGTCTGCATTTTTTCATACTATTAATCTGTTAAGCTCACCTCTAGATGTCCATTCATCCTGTCACGAGTATGATCATAACTCTTCTAAAAGGAATTGAAAGAATTTTGAGCTCTAACAGGTTCTCTAGAATTTCGTTGATTGGAGTTTTAGGTGACATTAATAAACAGGAATAAGCAGGAAATGATAGTAATTTGTTGCTACAAAATTATACTGGGCTTGTGGTATCCTGTATCACTATAATATTGAACTACAAAATCACAGTACACCTCAACATGCATACTATTCTTTTCTCACATTATACTCTATATTGGGGGTTCCCAAATTGGTTGTATATCAGAATCACCAGGGGGAATTAAATAAAAGTAAAGATTGACAGGTCCCACCACCAGAAAGTCTGATTTGGAGGTCCAGGGAGTATCTGGGATGTGTAAGTAAGAGATGCAAAAGAGAGATATTGAAGTGAGGCTGGTATGAAGAAGGGCTGCTGTTGAAGTGAGGCTGGTGTTTTCCATGGATGGGCAAAGAAGGCTCTCTCTGAGCATGTGTAGTTGGTTTGCACTGAGACTGGAATGATACCCAGGTGTAGGTCCTACGAAGATCTGGGAAAGAGCATTCCAGCAGAGGGGTGGCAGGAGCAAAGGCAGGCACAAGTGGTGCATTTGTAAAGGAGAAACAGTGTGACTGAGGGATGGAGAGAGTTTCCAAACCACATTCTTCCTTAAGGGCCAGTTGAAGGAGTTTGCATTTCATTACAATTGTGCTATGCTGGAATCTGATTTATGTTTTGAACAGATCACTCAGACCACTCCATGGAGCATGGCATGGGGGCTGGCAGGTTGGACGTATTTAGGAGTCTTGCTGAAAACTGATGGTAGAGATTGCGTCTAAGCTGGAAGGAAGGATGAGCGGGAGTTGATCAAGTGAAAGGGGTTGAGGGTGGAGTGTTTCAGGAAGAAGATTGGCAGATGCAAGGCCCTGAGCTGGAAAGATTGTTCTAGAAACTGAGAGAAGATGAGGGAGGAGCTTCAGAGGAAGATGGAATTCAGATGACATGGCTTCCAGGATATCAAGATAAAAAAGGTGAGCATAAAACACCAGCCAGGGTGTGCAGAAGAAGCCTGATGTCTTTTGAGTGACTACCTTGTTCTAGGAATAGGTACTTTCCTCATGTTATTGCTTTCAATGCAATGCAGCCTGCTTGGACTTTTCCAAGAGAATCTAGAAATTTGGATTTTGGTCTCCTGATTTTTAAATGTTGGCAAGCTAGTTAAAAAAAATTTGTTTTTAACCCAGAGTGAGTTAAAGAAAAGATATCTGTGGGCTGGATTTGGCTTGTGACTTCCAATATGTGGTCCTTGAGCAGCATGACAACTAACCCAAATGGTGCCTTTGTGCAAATTAGGAAAAGGTCTCTTTCTCTTTACATTTCCCAGCCACCTAAAGGAAAATTGTCATATTAAATATACAGCTCAATGATGACTGTGATGAAAATTGCAACACTCGAGTTGTGCAAAGTACAGTTCTATCTCTGAACAAAGTACAGAGTGGGCAGAAGTGACAGGAAAACAGGACATGGCCAGTGGTGTGTTGGAGCTAACTGGCACCAGCTTGTCAGAGCTGATTGTACACATCTTTTTCCAACTCTGTGCTGACTAACATCACATTGATAGCTCGGAATCAACCATGGTGTTCACACCAGGGAAATTGGTAAATATTATAAATCAGAGGTTGATCTGATGCCAAGAGCCAGTTGTGGAACATTTACCAGAACACCACTGAACAACATCATACCATGGAGGCCTGAATAACCTCTAAGGACCTGAATTTTAGACTATAGGCAAGGCAGATGACGAGACATTGACATAATCAGAACTCTCTATGTTCTAGGTGTCTTCATTCAAAAGTCCTTCCACTTCCTGGAACTAAAAAAAATCTTTTCCTTTGAAGAGATGCCTCCTTCTGCACTCACCTGGAGTGAAGGCTGTTCATCCTCTCATCCCTACTATGTCCAGGGACAGAGGAAAGAAAGAGGGACAACATACTTTTATTCCCTTTTGCCTCTTCCAATTTAATAATTGGAAGTTTAATAATCCCCCTTTTTGTTTGACATTCAGTATGTTGCTCACACTCCCTTTGTCTGACAACTGAGTAGAGTTACTGCTGATTTATGCAAATGAGAGCTTTGGTGTCTTCCTTCCAGCTCTTCCATCTACTCCAAGGTCCTTCAGCTTCCTGGGAGACTCTATGCTCACAGGGATGATCCATTAAGCTCTTCAACCTCCTGATTTGTGACTTTATCAACTGCAGGAACTCATCACCTCTGCTCCACTGCAGACTTGCTCAAACTTCCACTGCAGGTTTGAGCTAAGGATTCAATGACATAATGTATGGAAAGGGCCTAGCAAATGCTTGGCTTATAATAGATATCCAACACATGTTTCTTTCCTTGCCTTTTCCTTTTCATCTTTTAAAGATCGGAACACAGTTTCAAAACCCTGGTATTTCTTCCTCCTTTATTTTGAAATATCATTTGCATTTGACATAAACGGTTGATATGTATGTCATAAACTTTTTGCTAAGTGACATCCTTAGGAATCTGTGTTCTTTCCAGCATTCAGGAGCTGCTGGCATCCAATATTATTGGCGGCAATTGTGCTAACACGCACAACACAATACCCACCCTTTTAATTACAGAACATTCTTGCAGTAAAGTGACACTGATTCACATCTTGTTAATATTTATAGTTTTTGCTTCTGGCTAAATGCCAGGGATCTTCATCATGTGAATTTATTTGGCTTCCAATCTCCCCTTTGTTGCCTCTCTTCCTTTAGCTTATTTGTATATCTTTGTGTTACCCAGTCCAGGAGTGTCAGGGATTCCTTCCTTATGTTACAAGCCTTCTACCCATGAGAGGTGTTTAATGGGCAAGCATGTCTAATTGTAAGTGGGTAATAATGATTTTGTGTGACTTTTAAGAAAAACATTCCAATGCTTACGTTTGAGGGAGTGTGGGGAAATGCTCATGATGACTTTGATCATTGCTCAAA